TTCTGGAACTGTTTTAAATGAATTGTGTACTCTCATGAAAGATTCATGGAATCCTGTAGATATCTATTTCTACTTTGATTTTTTTTCTTCAATTCATGTAGTACTTGTGCGTACTTGAAGATAAGTGAGTGTGATCTTTCATCTAGATTTCTACTTTGATGGGTCATTTGTGCTTATGTTGCATTTGGTGCCGAAAGGCTTCTTTTTAAGCATCTGTGTTATAAAAGATTTATCTACTGTATTTTTGACATATCCTCAAATGGATTTTCTAAAAACAATTTGGAGGATCATGTGAACTAACAATGCCACACACATTGTTTCTAATCCGATGGGATTGAGTTTATCTCTATAAAGAAAGATCCTAATTCCTGTCAATTCATTGACTGAATTTATCTTGTGCTCATTCTGATGAAGGTTAGCTAGCGTTAGACAACTTGCATTTTACACACTATGAGACAGTTCCAAGTATTGAGTTATGCTGATTCACTAGCATCTGACTTGTTCTCTAGGTTTTGTCTACATCCTACATTGATTAGATAGAATATTTACCTGAGAATATTATCATAGAAGGATGTGTAATATACATTGATTATGCATTTTTTCCCAAAGATGAATCATGTTGGTATCTTAATTAGTATGTACCAACCTGGTGCTCATGCTTGGTTTTAGCATTTTAACTTGTGCTGTTATCGTTCCTGGAGTTGTTACATTCTCTTGTTGTAGAAAATGAGCCAATTTATATGCTTTTGTCGGTACAACTTGGTTGTTTAAAATGTCAAACAGGAGATGAACAAGAGGCCTGCTGCATCCAAGTTGGCCCAGAAGGCACTTCTCTCAATGGCAGCTACCGATTCTGCCGGGTGCCACCGCGACTCAGTGCTTTCATTAGCATCCGCCAAGTTGAGCCAAAGACTACTGATATCCAGTAGCAGAGATGGTGCAATCAAGGTCTGGAAATAAGAACTGGAGAAAGACAATTAGATTGTGAAGATTGCGTTGTACATATGTAGATACATGAATATGGACAATTAGATCTAAAGGCATGTGGATAACCATGTGCCCAAAAAGTTGAAAGTTACTCTTCTTTCGTTCAAAGTGAATTTAGATCTGTTTTCGCCGAGTTGCAAGTTTTGGCTTATAATTTAATTGGTCAATTGCTGCATGTACCTGAGTCTGATTACATTAATCTACAAAGGAGTTATACATCTCTTCGCAGTTGATGGAGTACCTGCGTACGAGTGTTATCGATATTGTTAGTAGTGCATCAATATAATTTAGCACCTGTAGAGTGTTTATTCGGGAATAGAGAAAATGAAGATTTTTATATATTTATTCCGTTATAACCATTTGATTATATAAAAGACTATGAATGATTCGAAGTTTCTTTTAATACTTTAGAGAATATTGCTTCACTGCTCTTGACATGCATTTTTCTCGATTCTCAATATTCGTCAATATATACTTTTACATTTTTTTTATTTTTGTCAAACATATTAAGAATTAATTTTATGATTATATATATATATAAGATAAGGGATAATTAGATTGTTCGATCATTGGCGACTTACGAGACCTTCCACGGACGTATGAGTCTTTTGGTTCTCATGCTCCTCAATCAATATAAGACTAAATATTTTTAAAAAAATATTTTATATCAACCTAATATTTATAATGTTTGAGTATAGAGTTAGATGAATTTTTTTTTTCTATCAAATATAAAAGAAGAAAAATATCATAACAAAAAAATCTCGTCCGAAAGCAAAGAATTCTCTTCCTCGTGAGATTTTGACTGCGTCGAGTGCGTGATTGAAAGAACAGGGAAGTGTAGAAGTCTCATCTCCACCGGCTGAGGTGGCAACAAAAGAGACCATATGGCCGACGCCAATACATATACGATGATGATGTGCAATGGAAGTTGCAAGATGCCATCATATTCATATGCTGGCCCTGTGCTGCTCATCTCTTTCTTTTCTCAGGGCACGCACTTCCACAACCAAACCTGTCAATCCATCCATGTTGACCCGTCTCTTTATCCTTTGACCCATCGCCATCCCATTCACAAAGGTGCAGGCAGGGGGAAAAAAAGACCTGGCATGGCTGCTGAGAGTTACGGGTGTGCATGACCTGCTTTGAACACTAAAGAGACGAATGATAACAAAACCCAGTTCTCTCTTGACCACATCTCATGTGGAGGAGAGAAATGATTCTGGGGAATGGGGATGATGACCACGTCGTAAGGAAAAGCTGGGTCATAGGACCGGCTTCAACTTTGCCAAAGCTTCTTCTTCCGATCTTTCTCTCTTACGGGCGCACATTCCCAGACATGGACCATCCACTAGGTTTCTCGTCTCAGTAAAACCATTGTTGTATGGCTCGGTTAAAGCTATTGAGTTTATCTATATATTCGTACAAATTTGATGATGGTTTTTTGCAGTGAATGGGAAGAATCTATTATGATCTTTAAGCATTCCATTTTATCACTTCAGCAGATGCATCATCTCGAACACAGTTGACACCGAAAGAGAGTTTCATCATCTTGATCAGTAAAGCTGGAAATCAAGAGCTGTGCAGATATACGGCAGAAGCAAATGGTTTATTATTGGCTTAAAACCCATTTAGATTGGATGTTATTCGAGTCATAGCAATCAGCGATAACAATGTGACTTCACTTTTTGTTCTTCTCCATTTCCCTTCCTTTCGTACTCCGATATGTGCACTCGTTACCTCAGCTGCGAAGATCAAGAGATGTGTTTTAGCTCTTTCGAGACATGCGTTACGGTGCATGCGTGCCGCTTTAAACGCTACCAAATGCCACCATGAGCGAAGAAGCTTTTCAAAAGTACTGTGATGCTTTCAAGAACAATCATGAACATGCCCTCAGTTATTCCCTTTGTCATAAAAGAATCACCCCAGCCTTTAGCTTCAACAGGTTTGAATGCTTTCTTGGCTGAGAGAAGGGGACAAACACTTGCATCATCTGCCAAAGACATTAATTTGCAGATGAGAGTGATCTGGTTTTGGGTTTTCAGATATGCCGAAACATGATGTTGGATCTACAACACCGATCTTATTAGTCTGGTTTCTTGTAAGATTGCCTACACTCGCTAAGATCTGTCTAAATTGTATTGTGACCTTACTGTTTTATGCGGAGAGTGCTCATTATCTTGGCGAACTTTTAATTGATCGAATGAAATATTATGGTTTCTTTGTTCAGAGAAAAAAGAGGATGATTAGATTGAAAAGAGAACTCGGAGGAACAACCACTTCTTCCTTATCCGCTTGCCACCACCCTACAGAAGAAGGAATTGGGACATCACAATTGGAAAGGGATGCATACCAACTCATCCATACACTCCACATTAAAGAATTTAAAGAATCACATGCACCTGTTTTCATCTCTGAAGAAACTCCATTGGCATCTGATTGATTGCAACTCGTAGCAACTCTTCAATGCCACTGCATATGACATGTGACAATGCATTTGGTTCAAATTGGACCACATCAATGTTAACTACTACTACTATTCTCCTCTTTGGAGATTAGTCACTTGGTCTTCAAAAGTCACCTAATATTTTTGGATGTCATGAACATTTCTTTAAGCTATGCCTATGATTTTTCGATCTATTGGATAAATGTTCTACCATATATTTTATATTTTTGGAGATGTATTCATTGTCTTTCCCATAGTATTATTTAGTTTCTCATATATCTTTTATATGTTTCTTTATCCAACAAATTCATTTCTTCTTAATCACTACCTCTCATAAAAGATTAAAAAAAAAAGGGGTTCTCTTTGACATTTTGAATCATATTAGGGTTGTTAAGAACTTTTTTTTCATATGATTGAATGAGTAAGCTTCCATTATCTTAAGAAATATGTTAAAAATAAAACACTAATTGTTGAACATTAATTCATCCACTTTGATAGAAATCTTGAAGATAATCAACATTATTTTAACATTTGACAGTCTCTCCAACATTTGTAAACTTGTGGGTGGGGGTATTTGACAAAAAATGATTGTGAGAGATGTTAGTGAGTCAAAGCCTAATTTTGCTTAATAAAGCCAAAAAACTAATCTAGTTGAGTTAGGTCTTTTAAGTGTGGATCTTTTTTTTTTTTTTTCCCTCTCTTTTGGCCCTTAAAAGTTTTCCTAACCCCCAACTCATCATAAAACTTGTGGCAATAATTAATCTTAGCTCTTGGTTTGGACTATGCTAGGAAAAAAATTTAAGCTATCCAAGTCGATAATACATCATGATAACAATTCGAAGCTCAATTTTCAACTTAATCCTGATCATGAATTACTTGTAATTGCAGTTCTTAATTGGCTTCATCTTAGCTTGCGTATATGAAAGCATAACGGCGAGGACGAAGGCTTTGTGATGCGATCATCAAGACCGTCCATCCATGATCTCACGCCTCCTAGATTTTGTGACTTGAATACGCATCTGCGAATAGAATCTAAGAAGAATCTAGCGAGGTTAGAGGAGCAAATGTAAGTACGTTCCAGAAAAGGCAATGAGCTACCCAGTCCAAACTACCATGAGATCTACACTAAATTACGATGTGATCTGAGGAGGTGGGTGTGTGTGTGAGTCGGAGATGACGGCCACCAAAAGGTTTGGTGCCCCACGAAGGTTGTCTGACCACAAGTCACGACTGACGGATCTTGGAACCTCCTTTGACCCAATCTGAGCCGTCAATCGTACTTTTCTTTGTTCCCTCGTGATTCGTGCAGTGGCCTTTTTGTGTTCATCAGATGACAGGGAAGGGGGTGTGGAGAGAGAGAAATCCTGGATTCTGAGTTGCTCCAGCTCATCAAAAAACTAATCTTTCATCAGATTTATCTCTGCTTCTCTTAATTCCTCTCGATTCGTTTCAACTCCCTCCCTCTCTCTCTCTCTCTCTCTCTCTCTCTCTCTCTCTCTCTCTTTCTCTCTCTCTACATCTCCACCTTCCATTCTTATAGATCGTGTATGCGTCCAAGAACACGATTAACAAACAACAAACACAAACCGCCCTCTGCCACCTGGTTTGGTTTCCTCCTCCGCCTCTCTCTCTTCCTTTTCTCCTCTGTCTCTCTCTCTCTGTCTCTCTCTGTTTCACAAATTGCCATCAAAAACAGCACCAAAAGAAGAAGAAAAAGGGGAGGAATAGAAGGACGTTGTGGGATAGAGAGGAAGAGGAAGGAAGAAGAAGAAGAGGAGAGGTTGGGAAAGGAAATGAAGACAGAGGAGGAGGTAGGGAGCTGAGAGGAGAGGATAGTGCCATTAATTTGGCGAAAGGTGGGATCTTTGGGGCGTTTGGGGAGGAGGCGAGATGGGGAACGTGACGTCGTCGGTGGCGGCACGGTTTGCGTTCTTTCCGCCGGAGCCGGCTACGTACGAGGTGTTCCGGGAGGGGGGAGCGGAGGGGCGGCTGTGCCTGTCGGGATTGTCGCCGGAGAGGAACGTGGCGGTACACCTGGTAGAGACCAAGGTCGGGAACCGGGTGGTGGCCACCTTCTGGCGCCACCCCTTGGCCCGCTTCACCCTCCTTTACTCCCACGGCAATGCGGCTGACCTCGGCCAGATGCTCGACCTGTTCTTCGAGCTCCGCGCTCACCTCCGGGTCAACATCATGAGGTAGAGCACACAGAAGCTTCTCTGTCTACCATTGCCTTTCTCTTCCCCTGTCCTCTTCTCTTCCGTTCCCATTCCCTTTCTCATTCCTCAGTTCGCAAGATTGGATCTTTTGTGCAGAAGATGGGTTCTTTTGAATAAGCTTGGTTCCTAGATTTAGATTTTGGAGGCGAAACATTGGGTGGTCTTGGTAATTGATTAGGACCTTAGGGATTTTGAATGAAAAAAGGGGGTAATTTTGATGTTTATATCCCCTAGGTTTCTGAGAGAGAATCCAAGGTTGTGCCTGCTTAATCTCTGTTCTTCTTCGCTTCATATGATCCATCTCTTGCTTCCATGGTTGTCAAGAACATTGGAGATTAGGCTTCTAAACATATTTCTGCTTCCCTCTAATGTTATATGTGGCTTCAGATGGATTCCTCTGCTAACCATCCGTAACTTGTTACAAGTAGATATGAAACGTGAGGTGCTAAGCCCTGTGCATGTAATATTTTATTGTACTCGAAGAGCTTTTTGTATGTGTATGACAGCAACAAAAGGATTGCTCTATGGATGCTGAGATAATGGTCACAGAAGTAGGCAGAATTGATTCCTTTTCTCCAGTTTGATGATCCATTTAGTTTAATATTTCTGTCGGACATGTTTTGTACGAAAATTGCTTTATTTATGTTTTTGATGGGTCGGGAGAACTATGATGATCTCTGAATGTTGGAGTACGAGTTTATGAGAATACAAGTTCATGTCTTGCGAAGATCCATATAGCTGGCCCGACATAGTTGGGCCATTATGGCTGATTGTTGTTATTATTTTATTGTTGCTTTTGTTCTCCACTCCAACCTCAAGGATGCAATGTGCAGATCTGTTTAGTATTCAGATGTTTTGATGTTCAAATTGGATACTGTGACAAATATTTTATTACTTTAAAATGAAATCAGAAATTGCTTTTCGATGGAAAATGCATTCAGAACTAATTACTGACCCTATGTTCTGTTTTGCAGTTATGATTACTCAGGTTATGGAGCATCGACAGGGAAGGTAAACATTTGCAAACATGTTCTTGTTCTCTTCTTCCTGCCTTCTCTACTTGTTTTGTATGCTTTGTAGTTGTATAATAGTATGACAACAAAGTTATATGTTGTGCTTGAGATTAGCTAAATCAGTTGAATTAAACAAAGGATAGGTAAAGCCTTCCATAACATTTTCTAGACAGTATACAATTTTAAATAGATGATTCTCCTTCAAGGAAGCAAGAAAACATCACACATGATGGGCCATAAAATAGTGATAGTAAATAGCAGTAGCAATTCCACAAACAAAACTGCTATCTAGCAAGGGTGAATACCTTGAAGTTTTTCATGGGCGACACACTCTCCAGCAAACTTGATGTGTGTGCCCATAAGTTTCAGGGGTGATTTACACCTGCAAGATAGTAGTATGCAGCAAAAAAATTTACCCTCTTAGGTGCTTAGAATTGACTGCTTGAATAAGGAATGAGTTACATCCGATCTATGTGAAGGTGATATGTTGCATGAGTTATGTTGGAATCACAATCTAAGTCTACACATGCTTCCTCAAGAACTCTGTGATACTAAAGATTGACAGCAACAGCCACAAGTACCTTTATATGTCATAAGATATGTTCTCAATAAACTAAAGTTTGTCATCAGAAGCATGCATTGTAGCCTACTTCTCACTTCTGACTGTGTATATTGTTTTCCTTGTTACTCATCATCCTGCCCAAAAGCCATCCGAGTTCAACACGTACTACGACATAGAAGCAGTGTACGATTGTTTGAAGAAAGAGTATGGGATAAAACAAGAAGATCTCATTTTGTATGGCCAGTCTGTTGGTAGCGGACCGACGTTGCACCTGGCTGCACGATTACAGAAACTGCGAGGCGTTGTCCTCCATAGTGCAATCCTGTCAGGCATACGAGTCCTATATCCTGTGAAACTGACATTCTGGTTTGATATTTTCAAGGTATGTTTGGAATTCATCGCTATTCGATTATTTCTCTGCTTTATTTGTTCATATTCATGTTCATACTATTGCTTTTCCTGTAATTTTTTGATGTGTTCTTTAATTATTACTGTGAAACATGGGCTTTTTGTCTGCAGAACATTGACAAAATTCGACAAGTAAACTGCCCAGTTCTCGTTATACATGTAAGCATTTTTCATCAGCCAGTTCATTAATTTGATTTTATTTGATTGACCAGGTACTGCAATACTACATTGCATGTTGGTTTGATTATCCTATAAACTCATCAGTTTTGCAAATTAGCACTAGAAATTCCCAAGTGCATTGCCATCGTATAATATGATTAGTACGTCCAACTTTGTCATCTCATCATCTCCTAAACCTTTTTTGCAGCAAAATTAGAAAGTTCAACTAAAAGACTTGGTGACATTCTATAAACAGCTGCCAATCTGAGATCAACCTTTTCAAAAATAGTTTGGTTGAATAGACTTCCAAAATTAGGAAAGAAAAGGACCTGTCCTGATCCCGAAACACTTAGCTGGCAAATAGAAAATGTTTATTGTATCAGTTACCTTCTGCAGGGCATGTCATGTGCATGCTAGTTAATTCTTTCTCTGCTGACCGCTGGTACCTGCTTTAATTTTATTCTGGAGTTGGAAGCTTTCCATGCTTAAAATAAGTCCAAAGCATCATTTAAATGCCAAGGTAGACTTTCTCTAGGAGCATTCAAGTTTCTTACATTGACATTCTTTTGTGGTGTTCCTGAAACTATTGAACATGAACCGTGTGTATATTGTTTCAAATATTTCAATCCACCCATTTCATTGATGTTCATGATCCATGTTATATAAAAAATAAGGACTTCAATTCTAGAAGTACACCACTATCACATGAGGTCTTAATCATGTGCCATTTGTTTGTAGGGAACTGCTGATGATATCGTCGACTGGACTCACGGGAAACGCTTGTGGGAACTATCCAAAGAGAAGTATGATCCATTATGGATCAAGGGAGGTGGTCACTGCAACTTAGAGTCGTATCCCCAATATATCCGGCACCTGCGCAAATTTATCAATGCAATGGAGAAACTTTCTGTCGCAAAACAGACGACGCAAAGCAGTCTGCCCACATCAACCATCACAGAGGTGAAACACAACAAGTGCTTGAGATTTGGCAAGCGATAGCTGTTCCGACGGCTCAGTAAGAACATGTTCTACCAAGAAAGCGTTAACATAGTGCAGTACAGAATACTAATCTTTAGGAGATCCTGTAGCAATCCATGTCCTCTGGGATCAAGTATGTGGTCATGAATCGAATGAATTATTTGTTTGAGTTGCCAGATTGATGGCTCATGTAAACACCTTCCACTTCCAAAGCAAAATATATGGTTTGTTTCTTAGATCTTTCCCACGATGTTCTCCCTTTGATGCTGTAATTTTGTTAGTAGATTTTGTTTTGAAGATTATCTAACCCACCGCAGTCCATCGAATCACCTGTGCATTGTGCAATGCAGCAAGACCGGTAAACTAAGGATTCCAAGCCTTCCAAAATCAATAAATGAGGAACATATTATCACAGGAAACAAGCATATTATCATAAATGTCATAAACACAATAAATGACACAAAATCAATAAGTGACACAAACCTTGTAAAATCAATGAAAGACGAGAAAAAGCATACTATCATAGTGGTATTTGAAATCGGATGCTTACGGTCGACAAAATTCTACAGAGGAGCAATCAATTACATGATATTCCAAGAGAGAAATCTCAAGTGAGCTCGGTCCCAACCACCAACCTGCGTAGCTTCTAAAATATCATTGCGAGGAGAAAAGTGGCGGATGACAGAGTCTGAGAGTTCCCATCTTCTATGCAACTACAACTACAACCACAACCACGAGCTGCCTGATCCATTAGCTAGAAATCTGTTTCCCAGAAGACACAAATACATTTAAGTTCCCATCTTCTATGCTAGACTGCAACTACAAAGTCTTTCCCAGTTCATCTGGAACAACCACATGCATGCAAGCTTGTTTTCCATTCTCAAGATTTTTGCAATCCACTTGGCACCATGGTCAGTGCACATTTTGACAAACGGAAAACACTATACGTAAGTCTTATAAATATAAAATTAATGATTATACTATTATTACATAGAAAATTTTAAAATAAAAAATAAAAATCAAATAAAGATAGATCTGTGTTGATATGTAAAGAAAGTTAGACTCACCGTTCCCTCTCATGTTATCCTTGATCTCTTAATAATATCACGTCGTCATATATTTGGATTGATATCATCGTTGTAGAAAAATATTGTTTAATTAGATATACAACCATTAACTATAAGGATATCCAAAATATTATCATCCTATATTATCACATAATTATTCAAAATATATTTTTCTTTAAGATTATTTAAATATCCTAGTTATGTACATTATTATGATTATTATTTTTTAATATCAATTAGAACTAATTATTTAACATAATTTTATAAATTATTAGTCTAGGCCACATTAGAAGATCAATATAATAACATAAAATATAACTTAAAATATCATATATACTAGACATAGGTACCCTATAAGCCAACCACATGAGTGATGACACATGTGACTTGACACGTAATTTTTTTGCTCATTATATTTTGACATTTATCACTTTATATTGTTTGTTAC